TATATATATATATATATATATATAAATTATGTTGAGCCTAAATAAGTTGGGACACCAAAGAACAAAATCTTGATTCATGTTCGGCTTGTTATATATTGAACGCAAACAAAAATTATCCTTGTTTGGCTATTTTACTTGGCAAACGAAGTGAAGATGCGCTACTTAATACGAGTTTTTTGTTAACAATGAGACTTGTTGACAGGCCAACATCTTCAATATGTATGTAAATTTTCCTTTTGTGTATTTTATAACAGGAAAGGATGAAAGATTTTGGCCAAGATATCTTCTTGGCGGCCGAACAAACAAATGGGCTTGGCGAAGAACAGGAGACAGCAGGCAAAAAGATCGATCAACTCTCAAAAGATGGACTCGAGAAGCTGATGAAGGACAGAAGATTGGATGCTATAGTTTTCCCTGACGCTCTGGCATCAAATTTTGTGGCCATTGGCGGATTTCCGGCTATAAGCGTGCCGGCGGGCTACAGCAGTTCCGGCGTTCCTTTCGGCATTTGCTTCAGCGGATTGAAAGGTTCGGATCAAAAGTTGATAGAGATTGCTTACGCTTTTGAACAGGCTACGAAAGTCCGAAAGCCACCAATTTTAACCGCATGATGCATCAAATCATCTCCGTGACAAAACAGAACCCCAAAAAAAAAATGTTTTTAACTTCATAAACATTGGATCATGATGTATGAAGATACTTTCTCATGTTTTTGTTTTGAATGTATAGTGATTAATCATTAGAATGATGATGTTCCGGTCGCATGAAATGTAAGGGTGGCGTGTTTAGATCATCACTGTTGCTGTTTCTATCGTCACCGTTGTCAGGATACGGCTGTTTCAGCGTGACATGTATGTAAATGTAGAATAGTAACTTGAGTTTTAAGACTTCAAGAAATAAAATTGCAGGTTTTAAGCATTAATGGATATGAATGAATATAAAGAGAAATCAAGCATACAATTTGATGAAAATGATTAATAAATTCATAACTTGTGAATTGGGGTGTAAAGGAGCCGAGCACAAGTGAGCTAAGGCTTAGCTCGTTTTCGCCTCGTCAAAAAATATCACTGTTCGTGTTTGGTTCGTTTATATTTCGAACATAAAAAATGTGTTTGTGTTTTATCGTTTTCTTAGAGAGTCGAACACAAGTTGTTCACGAACTAAAAGAGGTTTTGACAACCCTAATCACGCAGACGTAGAAATTAAGGGTTGGGGCAAGATTTAAATTTTATTGTTTATATTAAAATATCATTTAAATATGATTTAATATATTTCTATTCTATTTTTTAATTAATAATTTTATAGGATTATAAATCTTTCTAGCCTTATAGTCAGTTAAAATTTTTAAAAATACAAATCATAATTATATATATATATATATACATATATATATATATATATAATTGGTGAGTTTGACTTGTTAATTTAACAAACAAATCAAACAAGAACTTCTTAACGAGCCGGACACGAATTCTTCGCGAACAACGAACCATCTTGACAGCCCTACTTGTAAAATTTAGACCACCAAAAGGCATACATGACAAATGACTATTACTAATCTTTGGCAATTCGTCCTTGGTGGATTTTTGTCATTAATATACGTAACGGATACCTATATGCTCATTACTAAGAAAATTTATCTATAAAGGCATACTGTAATATGCCTGAAAAAATAAGAAATAGGATAGTACATAAATACAAATTTATTTATAAGAATTGACAAATGAAAAGTTTATATAGTACAAAGCAAACTCCAACTAAAAAAATGAAGGGACACCAAAGGAGGTATTTGCATCAAATTTAAAGTACTTCGGTCTTTTGGTTAGAAATGGTCTCAGAGATCTCCACTTCTCAACTCGATGAATTTTCAAAGGTAGATTGCTTTTTGTTGTTTAAATATTTTTTTCTTGATTGGCATTCATGGTTTAATTTAATTATAGGATCAAGATTAGCAATGCATTTAATCCCATGATCAATTATATCATTATCTATGTATAAATAACACTCAATTAAGTATATTATATATGCTCTCGAGAAAAAAATTATCATTGGAGAAGAAATAAAAAGGATGAAAATGATAAACATGAACAGGATCACGTGATTTGATTATCTCAAACTAAAATATTATGCAAATGTTAAAGTACTTTATTTCATAACTTCTAGGGTGTTGGGTAAATACCTATTGATTGTTCCGTTTTAAAAATTCCAAACAAACTAGGGTGAATTCATGCTTGGGATACATTTCATCCATTATAGGAAAAGGCGATGTAAGCGACGACATTACCAATAGCATAGTGTGTGTCACTAATATTGGTTTAATTTTCAACGGCGTATTAATAGATATTTAATCTTTAACCTTTCTGAAGGTATTACTACTCTCTGAAAATATTCAGACGGTTTATTTAGTTGTACCGAAGTTGTTAACCATCAGTTGCTTTCTAAACTAAAACTTACGGTTATCTACCGTAATTAAATCGTCATAACTTATTCATTATACCGTCTAAATCCTCATTCATCCTATCTCTCATGATGCTCTTCCCTCTCTCCCAATTTCGCCCTAAATCCCTCCACCCTCCCGCAACCCTCTTCCTCCTCTCCCAATGACGGTCCACCTCTCCTGGCGACGCTTCTCCTCTCCCATTGACACTCCTCTCGCGACTCATGAGTTCGACTCCGACCGCCTAACCTAGGGGATCACAGCTTGCAGAGACCACTGAAACCTTCATCCATCTGCTCCGTACGTAAACTATTGATTAAGGTAAACTCTAAACCCTATTGAACGCTCTATTCTTCCTCTTCGCTCATTCCTCTGCCTCTACTGAAACCACCATAATTTTTTTTTCTACGATCACCATTCGAGCTAGCTAGGAGTTGGAAGCTAGATTACCAATGAGCAATGTAGACCGTAGTTAGGGGTGTAAACGAGCTGAGCACGAGCGAGCCAAGCTGAGCACGAGTGAGCCCAGGCTCAGCTCGTGTCGCTTGTGTTTGGCTCATTTATATTTCAAGCTCAAAAAGTGTGTTTGTGTTCGGCTCATTTGCCTAACGAGCCGAACATGAGACGTTCATGAACAAAGAGTCATTTGACAACCCTAATTGCGTAGCCATAAAATATTAAAGATTGGGGTAAGATTTAAAAAAATTTTGTTTATATTAAAACATCATTTGAATCTCCTTTAATAATTTTTATTTTGTTTTCTTAATTAATACTTTCCATTGATTATAAATCTTTGTAGCCTTGTACTCAATTAAATTTTTAAAATTACTACTCATCAAAGATATATGTATATCTATATATATATATATATATATATATCTATATACAATTGATATTATTTAGAGCCAAAACGGGTGTCGTCTCATGAACTTGGCAACCTTTTAATGAGCCAAACACGAGCTGCTCGCGAACAATGAGCAGTATTAACAGCCCTAACCGTAATGGGTTGCATAAGCCATATTGATAAGCTGCAATAACGTCCATAGACAATAAAGACTAGAGTTGGGAGCTGCATAAGCTGTGAGCATGTTGGCTGTAGTTGGTCAGATAGGTTGTAGTGGTAGTCGCAATAACAGTTGTAGACTATAAAAACCTGAGTTAAGAGTTGCATGAGCCGTGAACCATGTAGTAGGTTATTGTGGTGAGTTGTAATAATGTCTGTAAGACAAAGATCAAAGTTGAGAGTTGTCTGAGTTGTGAGTCACATTGGTCGTAGACCTTAAACGAGATCTGTGAGGAGAGAACTTTAGGAGTTCAAAGATATCATTGTATTCAGAGTACAGCTTTGGTAAGCAGTTAATGAGGGATGTGACACTGTACTTGAGGTGCATTATTACTCTTTTTTCAGGGTGCATTGTTATACTGTATTCATAGTGCGTGGTGGGTGTCGTTTCACAGCGTTTAGGATAATACACTTCTTTATCAGGTGCTTCATTAACTTGGAAGGGGCTTCATTACAGCGAGCAGGGACAGTCGATGGTTGTTGATGGTGACCAATGAGTCGTAGTCGATGATGACTGGTAACCAGCGGTCAACAATGTCAGTGGTTACAAAAGGACGAAGCATTCTTTGGGTCTTCAATCTAATATTGCATTGGAATTCAACTTTTTCTTCTCGTGGTCCAACTCTAGTTCAAGTTTCAGCTCTTTATCCCCTTTCATGCAGGGAGTGGTGGGGCTCTATCTATAAAGTAGGTGATATGCCTCCCTACATGAAAGGAAAGAATCTGGATCACTCCATTATATGATATGGAGAGGATTCCTTGATCAAACGACATTTTGTGGACATTTGAGGGTCGTAATAATTTTTGAATTAAGCGATCTTAAGCTCATCGATTTGAATTTATGCTTTTCAAATTTAGAATCCATTTGACCTTCCAATTAAGTACCCAAAGCTTCCAAAATTGGTTTAACAACGTGATATGGGCTTGATCTGACTTGGATCAGATAGTTTGTTTATAAGTTAACTAAAATTAGAGTTTCAGATGGTCTTTGATTTGAGTTTGAATGATTCATGCTAAAAATTGATATGAGATTCATGTTAATCTTATCGGGACTTATGCTAAATGACATAATTTATTAAAGAAATGTTAGTTAGCCCTTAAGTTTTGGGCAGTCTCACTCCCCCATCTAAAAATTGTTGAAATAACAAAATGCGATTTTGTGTTAGGGGCTTGTGGTAGTGGCCGGAGGTTGGTGGCGATGGTGGAGGGGGCAGTGATGGAGGTGAAACCCGACGGTGATGGCGGCTGAGCAGGTGCGTGATAGGTTGTGGGTCACCCAGGCTGGCTTCAATCGGACGACATGAGGCATGAAGTGATCCGTTCACGACTGACCACAAACATCCACGTCAGCAGTCCAGGGATGTGGACTGGGGCAACCATGTCAAAGATCTGGGAGATGCGACATGGGAGACATGGGAGGTAGGAGCAATCAAACGGACATTAAGCAACTGCATATGTGATCTTTGGGATCTGTGGCTTTTTTCTAAAATTATGCCCTTTTTGACAAATTGGGAAATGTTGGAGCCATTTTAAGCCCATAAATAGGCTAGAAAGGAGAAAAAAATGGAGTCTCTCGATATTTTTGTGCAACTAATAGAGCTCCCTCTTACGTAGTTGTTGTTCATCTTAGCTGCCATGACATTTTTCGGAGCTGATTTTATGCGCAATTGTTGCATTTTGTAAAGGGATTTTTTGATTTGTTGTGGTGTTTTTTGGAAGGAATTTCCCACATGATTGTTATGTTTTATGGAGTAGATTTTTCGGGATTTTTTCACGTCGCTATGTTTGCTGTGCTTTTTGGGAGGGGATTTCTTGCGCAACTATTGAGTTGTTTGGACAAGATTTTTTGTGCTACTGTGATATTTTTTGGATGAGATTTTCTATGCCAACGACATTTTTTAAATGGGATTTTTCATATTGTTGCTGCATTTTTTGGATGTGTTTTTAAGCCACTGTGGCTTTTTTGGGGAAGAATTTTTTTGCTGCTTCAAGATGTCTATGTCTAGGAAATTTTTTCCTCAAAAAAAAAAAAAAAAAAGAAGCGAAAGTACCAGAATTTTGAAGGGGTCATTGGAGCATGATAACTTTGTCTAGCATGTCACTACTATGATTGATGAACTACATCAGCTACATGAGTGGCAGTGGAGAGTCGAGGACAACTGA